CCTCCCCACCCCTTCTCCACGCCGCTCAGCCAGCCCCTGCACAGCAGATACCTGACTGAATGTCCCCTGCCTGGACTCTTCCCCCTGGAATACCCCGACTCTAGGGCAGCTGCCTGCAGACCCCGCTTTCCAGCCCTCCCCTCCCCTGGGACCCCCCCCACACACACACACATTTGCAGCAGATTCTGGACCAGCCGGGGAGGGGGGGGCTCAGATAATCCAAAGATAAGTCAAAAGTCGATTCTATCGGATTCAGGAAGAGCTATAGGATTTTAGGGCTGCTTGTTCTAATTCTTTCCAGACCCTTCTCTTCCCCTCCCCTCTCCTCTTCTCCCTCTGCCCCCCTCTGCCCTACCTCCTGTCCCCTCTGGGGGGTGGGGGGGACGCTGAGTGTCTTTCACGGGCAGCTCTGGCCACGGCAGTTTTCATCAGGGCTGGAGGGAATCCCAGCATCAGGCCCGCCTGGCCTGGCCTGAGTCCCCAGGGAGATGCACACCCTTCTGGTCACCAGGGCTGGGCTGTCTCCTGCCTCTTGCGCTGCCGAAACGTGTGACCTCTGTGATGTCCAGTCCCCTCTCTGGGCCTGTCTCCCCACTGGCCAATGTAAGGGTTGGGCTATGGTCTCAGGGCCTTCAGTGAAGCAAGTCACTGAACACCTCTGTGCCTCAGTTTCCTCATCTGCCAGATGTCCACCGACATCCCTTCTGGGCCTGCCTGCCCGGCGGTTCTGGGGGATCAGATGGGTCCCCCTCCTGCGCTGAGAAGAACAGACAAGCCTTTCCTGTTCGACTGTGGAAGGCATTATGCGATTCCTTTTTTCTCCAGCACCGTCACCTTCCCCCATTCCATTTCGCTGAGACTAATACTTAAATTGATTTACATTCCCCGAGGACACAGCGCATGATGGTGAGGCTGGAGGATTCGGGGTGGCCAGGGGATGTCAGCCAGGACGCCAATGCCTCCGAGATCACCCAGAGGGTGGGTAGTCCACATGGGAGTAATGAAGGCTGCGAGCCTGGCCAGGCTGGCTGTGGGGGGCGGAGGGGGGGGGGTTCTCTGCAGGTGCAGGGCCTCCCCAGCCGGAGGAGGGACCTGGTAAAGGGGCACCTGACCAGCCTGGGACACTGCCACCTTTGGGACCCCAGCAGGGAACAGAGCCCCCTCCTCAAGTTCCAACAGTCTCCCTGGCTGCCCCAGCTCTGCGCCGGCTGAGCTGGAAGGGACTCCTGGCTGTCCCACGCGGAACATTCCCCAGGTCTCCACCCACGGCTCCTGACCCGCAAGGGGAACCCAGGCCCGGCTGTGGGTGCCTGCTGCCCTGACCAGATAGGTGTGGACAATGCGTCCCCCCACCCTGCCGACCTCCCCGCCTGCCTCTATAGATCTTGCCTCTTCCCCAACTGTTGCCTCTCCGTGGACACAGACACGTCCTCTCTCTCAGGCCGGTGGTCTATCCTCCCCAAATCCCCTCCCTAGGGGACTCTGGTGTTTGCTGCTGCAATTCCAGAGGGTGCTGGCTCTACCCCAGGAGAGAGCTGAATTAAGGAATTGAGGGTGCACCACCCAATGCCCAGAGCCTTGATGCCGGTCCCCTCAGAATCCTACTGGGTAAAGCAACTGCCCCCTTCCCTGTACTCAACCCTGGAAGACTGCTTCTCAGACCACAGCTCTGAGAGTCACTGCCCGCCCCTCCTGACTCCTGGTGCCTCAGGAGCCTGTGCCCACCCCAGCCAGGCTGTTCCTCCTGCCACCTCACCTTAGCTCCCCTGCTGCGGTCCCTGCTCGCATGACCCGTTTCGTTGGAAACTATGAGTTTACCGATGTCTGTGCATTTATTCTGTGCACACGCATTTCCATGGCACGAATGCAAGTTAGAAGGCCTCGTTATATGTGGTGCATCTGTACATACGTGTGCGCACACGTGTACTGCCTGCATTTCTGTGCGTGACAGTGGGCGGAGGGGGGCTGTCACACATGGGGGTCCCTACAGGCCTGGATCTATGCGTGTGAAGCCTGCTGTGTCCATGTGTGCGTGTGTGCTTGAGGGTCCGGCTGCATCTCTGTGAGCTGTTCGTGTGTGTGTGTGTGTGTGTGTGTGTGTGTGTCTGAGTGTGGATGAGGAGCACTGGCTCTGGCGCCCCCTTGAATCTGAAGTTCATTCGTCCTGGGATCCTGCACGGAGCACTAGGTCGCTTCCTCTGGGCAGCAGAGGTCTAGGGTGGGGGCGGGGGGTGGGAGCAGAACTCAGGGCAGCACCCTGTGTGTGCCAGGTGTGGGGCCCTGCCTTGGTGTTGGGGACCCTGATGGAGGCCCTCCCAGCTTTCCTTGTCCCCTCCCATCACCGGCAGGTCACCTTCCGGACCCTTTTGGTCCTGACTGTTCAGTTCAACACCCTGCTCCAGCCTCTCTCCCATGTGCCCTGAGTGAGCCGGCTGCCCCAGCCTTGTCCCTGGACAAGACCCTGATCTCTGGGCCTTGCTTGCCTCAGTTCCTCCGCCAACCCCTCAGCTCTCCCCTCACTGGCTCTTCCTCCCATGGCCACCCTTTCCTGCCCACAGCTATTTCTCCCTGGCTGCAGCCCCCACCCCC